TCCACGACCCAAATGTTGTTGCCCACCCAGGCGGGGGCTCCCTGTCTTATCCCTGACACCTTTACTGCCTTCATCCTCTCCATCAAATCTAGACTTCACTTCTACCTATATCGACTCATCCCCTTCTTATCTTCCTCGATACTCCCCAGTCCAAGCTACCATCAACCCTTGCCTGGATTACCACGACAGCTTCTTTTTTTTTTTTAACTTTTATTTAATGAATATAGATTTCCAAAGTACAGCTTATGGATTACATTGGCTCCCCCCCGCAATGACTTCCCTCCCACCCGCAACCCTCCCCTTTCCCCCTCTCTCTCCCCTTCCATTCTTATCAAGATTCATTTTCAATTTTCTTTATATACAGAAGATCAGTTTAGTATACATTAAGTAAAGATTTCAACAGTTTGCACCCACATAAAAACACAAAGTGAAAAATACTGTTTGAGTACTCGTTATAGTATTAAATCTCAATGTAAAGCACATTAAGGACAGAGATCCTACATGAGGAGTAAGTGCACAGTGACTCCTGTTGTTGACTTTACAAATTGACACTCCTGTTTATGGCATCAGTAATCTCCCTATGCTCCAGTCATGAGTTTCCAAGGCTATGGAAGCCTTTTGAGTTCACCAACTCTTATCTTTAGACAAGGTCATAGTCAAAGTGGAAGTTCTCTCCTCCCTTCAGAGAAAGGTACCTCCTTCTTTGAAGACCTGTTCTTTCCACTGGATCTCACTCACAGAGATCTTCATTTAGGGGGTTTTTTTTATTTTTTTTTCAGAACAGGTGTATCTAGCCAGAGTGTCTTGGCTTTCCATGCCTGAAATACTCTCATGGGCTTTTCAGCCAGATCGGAATGCCTTTAGGGCTGATTCTGAGAGGTGCCTCAGTTTTATATGTGATTCCAACCATGATTCCAGTCTCCTACTGAAGCAGTGCCTCATAGCACCCATGTGGCAAATCTGGATTGAGTTCTCCAGCCCCAGCCATTGCAGGCATTTGGAGAGTGAACCAGTGAACCAGAACATGCGCTCATTCTCCTTCTCTCTGTGTCTCTCCAAATCCTGACCTCTTAAATCAATAATTTTTTTTTTACAGGCAGAGTGGACAGTGAGAGAGAGAGACAGAGAGAAAGGTCTTCCTTTTGCTGTTGGTTCACCCTCCAATGGCCGCTGCGGCCGGCGCTCCAGCCTGCGCACCGCGCTGATCCGATGGCAGGAGCCAGGTGCTTCTCCTGGTCTCCCATGGGGTGCAGGGCCCAAGCACTTGGGCCATCCTCCACTGCACTCCCGGGCCACAGCAGAGAGCTGGCCTGGAAGAGGGGCAACCGGGACAGAATCCAGCGCCCCGACCGGGACTAGAACCCAGTGTGTCGGTGCCGCTAGGCAGAGGATTAGCCTATTAAGCTGCCATAAATCAATAATTTTTTTTAAAAAATTAAATCCTGCATGTCTTTCCATCACCTGACTCTCTAAACTCATAGCTTAACCTTGCCACAAACATTTCCTGACCACCAATTCTTTCCACCTGATTTCTGCTTCTACTGCAAAGTTTCACCACGGATGCTTCCCTTGCTTGCTCTGGTATGACTAACACGCTAAGTCACCTTAATGGTCTCTTCAAGGTACTCATCATCCTAGCACCAGCTGCTGATTTTGATGTTACTGACACTTCCATCTCGGAAGGTTAAACAATGAACTCTGCATTGAGCTGATTGTGAAACCAAGCCCCTATTCCCAATGCCTTTGATATAGACGTTATCAGGCCTCAATTTCTCTCCCTCAGCTTGCAGTTCCTCTGTCTTCATTCTGGTAATTACAAGTCAGCTCCTTACTAAATGTTAGCTACTTAAACCATGGGAGTGGCACAAGGGTCAGGCCAGCCCTGCAAGGCCCTAGATGGCCGGACCCAGAATTCAATTAGTACTTCTATAGTTAACTTTTCAATGCTGTACTCTATTCTAAAATACCTCACAAGAAACCAAGGCACTTATCAAACAAAGTAACACACAATCAACCCACAGGCTTTCTTTATCGTCACAGTACCTTTTTTAAAAAGATTATTTAGATATTTATTTGAAAGTCAGAGTTACAGAGAGAGAGAGAGAGAGAGAGAGAGAGTCTTCCATCCGCAGATTCACTCCCCAATTGGCCCCAACAGCCAAAACTGTGCTGATCCGAAGCCAGGAGCCAGGAGCTTCTTCCTGGTCTCCCACATGGGTACAGGGGCCCAAGGACTTGGGTCATGTTCTACTGCTCTCCAAGGCCATAGCAGAGAGCTGGCTCAGAAGTGGAGCAGCCAGAACTCGAACCTGCACCCGTATGGGATGCCAGCACTGCAGGCAGCGGCTTTACTTGCTGCATGCGCCACAGCACAGGCCCCACCATCACAGTATCTTCAGAAGAACGCACTGGCCTCCTGTCAGAGAACCAATCAAAAGCAGGCCATGAGCTCTGTGGATTAGAGATCTGCATGTCAGCTGATCAAGCACTGCTTTAATCTGTGAAATTCATCACTTTTAATCCCTCAGGGGATTTGAGAATTGAGAATTGGGAGACAGCTACCTGGCTCCTGGCTCTGTGCACTGTAAATAAACATCAGCTTCCTTCTACCACCCAGTGTCAGTGACTGGCTTGCTGCACATCAGGCAAGTGGATCCAGTGTAGCAGGGACTCTACCACAATCAAATAAAATCCCAGATTTACTGCCACAGTCATTGTGAGAACCAGGGAGTCTCCTTAAACTCCCTTTGGCCCTGTTTCCTCATTTATAAATAGGAGTAGGGATAATAACCTCTTCCTGTGATTGTTATGAGTGTTAAATAAGGTCATTCTTAAGAAGAGCTTAGCACAATATCAGCCCAGGGAAAATACTCAATAAATGCTGTTACTATTTTATGATCCTTGAGACCTCCTTTATCCCTTGACTTCTGAGATAACAGATTCCCTGTTCTCTTTGTCTCAGTTTTTTGCTTATCTCTATTCAACCTGAGCAGTTATTGCATGTTAATATGAGGTGGAGGAATTGGAGAGACAAAAGTGAGTAAGATAGGGATCTTTTCCTCAAAGAAAATGCAGGCCTTTTGATTACCTTGTTCTTCTTGTTCCAAGGGTTCCACAAATCTTGAGTCCTCTGATTTTAGTTCCTTCTGCTTCTGTTTTTCATCAAGCTGTAGAAAATATGATATTCATGAAACAAGAGAATGTGGTTACATCAGATGTGATGAAAAAATGGGAGACTAAACTCTCCTCCATGACAAATCAGAACTGAGGTAGCAGGCCCGGCAGAGCTTCCTGGATACCACACCAAATTTTAAGAGAAAGCAGAATTAATCCTGGTTTTTGCTTATCAGGGAGACTGTCCATTCACAAACTTAAACTGTTCTATTAAATCCACACCTTTTACCCAGGGCTGAAAATTTGGTGTGCACATTGCACTTTTCTAAGTCCCAATCTAGGTACTATTTTAGGAACAGAGGAGTTCTCTCCCAACCTTCATTCTACTGATGGATGCTCAAAAAATCCTTCTGGAGCTTCGTCTCTGGCTCTGGCTTGTACATATTAGTTATTTTAGTCCTTAGTGGGTTCATATCAGTCATGGACACAGTTGCCTGTATAGTTATGGCTTCTGAGGAATTAATTCTCTGCTCTGATAAGGCTAGTTTGCATTTCTGCAACATAACATGGTTCCAGAAGGGAGTATTTTTTCTCTCTAAGCCACAAATTGTATAAATGCGGTTTCAAGTAGCAGCCCTGACAAAATGCAGCTATGTAGAACTTAAGTCCTAATCTGGAATTATGTAGCTTATTTTCACCTATCCAAATGAAAGGGTTAGGCTTGGCTTTACTAGTCCAAAAAATAAATAAATAACATATACATATTAGCTCAGTCCCTCTTTAGGGCTAAGAAAAAGTTCTGATGCATATTAGTAACCTTTCACTATGTAACAAACTAAAGGATTTATTTATTTACTTGACGTGCAGAGTGACAGAGAGAGAGAAGGAGAGACAGAAAGATATTCCATTCACCGGTTCCCTGCCTGAAATGGCCACAATGGCTGTGACTAGGATGGGCTGGGCTGAGGCCAGGAGCCAGGAGCTTCGTCCAGGTATGCCTCATGGGCCGCAGGGGTCCAGGTACTTGGGCCATCTTCTGCTGCTTTACTAAGCACATTAGCAGGGAGCTGGGCCAGAAGTGGAGCAACCAGAGCACCCATATGAATGCCGGCACTGTAAGTGGTGGTTTGGTGCCAGCCCCCAAATCCACTTTCCATTCTCACGCTAAATGCAACTACATAAAGTAGGGGAGAAGAAGAGAAAGAAAAGAGGGAGAGGAGATTGAGGGAGGGAAGAAGGGAAGTATTCCAATTCTTGGAATTGTATCTGAGAGGTACATGAAGTCTGTTCTCTTTTTTATTGATATATTTTATATTAATGTATTTTGTATTAATAAAAAGAAAAATAAAATGTGGAACATATACACAATGAAATACTTCTCAGCCACAAAAACAAATGAAATTAAGTCTTTCACAATAAAATGAACATAACTCGAAACCATTATTGCTTAGTGAAATAAGCCAGACCAAAAAAGACAAATATCATGTTTTCTTTGGTTTGTAGCTAATAGAGTACAAAAAAACCCAACAATTTATGTAAGTCAAATTGACATTCCAAGATTTGATTATTGCCTATACTCTCATGGAACAGTTGTCTTTCTACTTTCTACTTGTTGAATTCTTTTTTTTTAATTTTTTTTATTTATTTTTATCTGAAAGACAGAGTTACAGAGAGAGAGGTCTTCCATCTGTTGGTTCACTCTCCAGTTGGCCACAATGGCCGGAGCTGCGCTGATCCAAAGCCAGGAGCCTCCTCCGAGTCTCTCACATGGGTGCAGGGGCCAAGAACTTGGACCATCTTCTACTGCTTTCCCAAGCCACAGCAGAGAGCTGGATCAGAAGAGGAGCAGCCGGGACTAGAACCTGTGCCCATATGGGATGCTGGCACTTCAGGCCAGGGCTTTAACCCCCTGCGCCTCAGCACCAGCCCCGAATTCTTTTTTAAGTCGAGGACTGTGAATATAAAGTGAATTGAAAGTATGTTATTGAGGGGCCAGCACCGTGGCTCACTTAGTTAATCCTCCACCTGTGAAGCTGGCATCCCATATTGGTGCTGGGTTCTAGTCCCAACTGCTCCTTCCAGTCCAGCGCTCTGCTGTGGCCTGGGAAGGCAGTGGAGGATGGCCCAAGTGCTTGGGCACCTGCACCTGCATGGGAGACCAGGAGGAAGCACCTGGTTCCTGGCTTCGGATCGGCGCAGCATGCCGCCCCTGGTGGCCATTTGGGGGGTGAACCAACGGAAGGAAGACCTTTCTCTCTGTCTCTCACTGTCTATAACTCTACCTGTCAAATTTATTTAAAAAAAAGAAAGTATGTTATTGCAAATAAAGAAAAGAAAAAATAGGAAGGAGGAAGGAAGGTAGAAGAGAAGGTGATGGGGGAAGGTGAAGGGCGACGCTGTGGCGTAGTGCGTGAAGCTGCCGCCTGCAGTGCCTGCATCCCATATGGGTGCTGGTTGTGTCCTGGTTGCTCCACTTCTGATCCAGCTCTTTGCTATGGCCTGGGATAGCAGAAGATGGCCCAAATCCCTGCACTCTTGTGGGAGACCGGAAGAAGCTCCTGGCTCCTGGCTCCTGGCTATGGATCATCGCAGCTCCAGCCGTTGCGGCCAGTTGGGTAGTGAACCAGCTGGAAGATCTCTTTCTCTCTCTGTGTAACTCTGACTTTCAAGTAAAATGAACAAATCTTTAAAAGAGAGAGAGAGAGAAAGAGAAGGTGAGTGGGAAGTATCATTATGGACTTAAATTTGTATATATGAAATACATGGAAATACATGAAATCTGTTCCCTTTATTTAAATTTAAAAAATTTTAAGAACACAATTTCATTGGGGCAGTATTGTGGTGTAGTGGGTAAAGCTGCTGCCTGCAACACTGGCATCTCATATGGGAGCTGGTTCATGTCCTGGCTGCTCCACTTCTGATCCAGCTCTCTGCTAATGGTCTGGGAAAACAGCAGCAGATGGCCCAAGTGTTGGACCCTTGCCACCCACATGAAAAACCCAGATGAACCTCCTAGCTTCTGGCTTTGGTCTGGCCCAGAGTTGGCCTTTGCACCCATATGGGGAGTGAACCACCAGATGAAATCTCTCTCTCTCTTTCAAAAAAATAAATAAATCTTTTTTAAAAATGCAACTACATTTAATTTGCCTGTTCCCTCTGCCCCTGGAACCAGGACAATCTCAGTCGGAACCTAAAAATGTCCTCACAGGAACTAGTCAGTGACTTGCATTTCAGGCTCTTTGATTAATCAAAGTCCAGTAGGGATGATTGCTCTCTAGGACTCTACATGTGTCATATTTGAACTGATTTCCACCAACTTACCACTCTGGGGGTGAGGGGAAGGGATAATAATTGAATAAAAGCAGATTTTTTCAGTTTCTCTAAAGAATAGCTTTGATGTCAAATATCAGAGGATTCTTCATTTATTGGGGAGAGAGCATTACAAATCAGTTAAAAAAGGAGAAGCCGGCGCTGTGGCGCAGTGGGTTAAAGCCCTGGTCCGAAGCGCTGGCATCCCATATGGGCGCCGGTTCTAGTCCCGGCTGCTCCTCTTCCAATCCAGCTCTCTGCTGTGGCCTGGGATAGCAGTAGAAGATGGCCCAAGTCCTTGGGCCCCTGTACCCACGTGGAAGACCCAGAGGAAGCTTCTGGCTCCTGGCTTTGGATCGGCTCAGCTCCGGCTGTTGTGGCCATCTGGGGAGTGAACCAACGGATGGAGGACCTAACTCTCTCTGCCTCTCCTCTCTCTGTGTAATTCTGACTTTCAAATAAATAAAAATAAATCTTTCAAAAAAAAAGCATTTCAGTTTAACTCAATATTTCAGGACCCCCATGGTATCATGACACAGCCGCATAAAACAGTGTGAAATCTTCAGAAATAATGAGTTGTCTGTGAAAAATGCTGATGGCCGAATTTCTAATGAGCTATTTATGAAATAAAGCTTACTTATTTCTATTTCTATAGTGGGAGCATACACAAATGAATTTATGAACATAAATATAAAACCAGAAAGTTGTAAGAGGAATGTTAGGTAAGTTTCTCTTCCATACATAATCCAGACATGAGTTGACATACCTAGGTCCAAACTTGTGTCATATCCTAAGACAAAGAAATAACTCTGGTCCACTTCTAAGAGCATTTGCCTCTATTGATTCCATATAAATACCATGTGGCCTTTGGATTTTCACGAACATATTCTAGAAGGCAAGAAACATTTTCCTTTGAGATGTATCAGGGCTTGTGAGAAAAAGAGAAGTTCTCTTGTGTTGAGTTGTTTGAGTCTATTTGTCACAGCAGTTTCACCTACCCTATCTAACATATATGGTAAGAGTGTGGTTTGGGCTGGGAGGGACAGGATGGTGAGCCAGATGACTTAACATAGCTGAGGCAGCCTTGCCCATTGGATATGATCACTTACCTTGACTCTGCTGCTCCAGAAAACAGCAAACACAGCCCCCTCGTAGGACCAGCCACCCCAGGGGAATCAGTTTGGATAGGCTGAAGGAACCCTAAGTATGTCAACCCTGGCTTAATTGCCAGAGGTCTACGATGCTAAAGCCATCTGCAGGACCTTCTCAAATTTTAACTGAAGCCTAATAATCAGAATTGGCTTGACTGAGCTGGGATTCCCCAAGGCCAGGATTTTCACAACTCATCCACTTACGCATTCACCTAAGGGATTTTAGTGACTCCTATAGCAACTGAGCTGCCAGTTGCTTAGAGAGGAAAATTTTAAATTTAGGGGCTTTCCCTCGGAACTACCCTGATTACTCTGCAGAGTAATCAGGGTAGTGTTTTATGGGGAAATGTAGATCTTTCCTTATGGGTATGTATGAAAAAGAAGACAGGTGAATTCAGGTGTGTGATATTTAGATGGCGGATAAACACCCAAGTGCAGAGGAGAATATTTGCACCCTGAACATAAACCTAGAGTTAGCAAAGGGACGGCAAAAGGAATGGGCAAAGACCCAAAGATTTCAGATACTTCCTGGATGTCAGAAAGCACAATGAAACTGTCATGGTAAATCAAATCCATTAAACACACTTAAAATA